TGTTTCTTGAAAAATATAATACGTAAGTATCTATCTACATAATTAATGTAACTTTTTTAATTGCAACGTAGGTAAGCATTTAATAATATATTTTTAGGAATCTATTTACTTTTGTACAGGAATTTTTTATTTAAGTTTATTCACATATTGCAACCTTAGTAGATTTTAATTATAAATTATAAGTTAAATAACAAAACGGTTTTCCTTGTCGCTATCAAGACGTATCGGTGTAAAAGGAAGAATTTATTAGGGCTAACGGCAAAACGAGCTTGAGAAGTAGGCCAAGATAAATCGATTGTAAGCAATGACGTTCATACCCTTTTCTTAGGCAAAAGGGGAATTAAAAAAGCAGGCCATAGTGTACTTATGCTTATAGACAGATTGTAGGTACCTACCTATCTAAAAGATCAAAGATAGATTATATTTTTAATTAAAAACTAATTCAAAATAAAATAACGTAAGATAGGTACAAAAGGTCTTAATAAAATGTTTCCTTTTTATATGAATATCTAGTCAGAAACTAAGGTTAATATAACTTAAAGTTTCTCGTTTAGCTTTGTCCTATTCGATTTTAGAATTTCCCGCGTCTCGCTGTCCATTTTGCATTTGGCTTCGCGCCAAATAATTCCAATTCAACTGCCCACGCTACACAATTCAGTTTCTTATCTCTAACTCTAATCCAGTATTCTTATAAATATTATGTTACAAAAACAAAATTTGTTCTTAAAAACCGGTTTGTTTGTGGCGCTTTCTGTAATTTTGTCAATTGAATGTGGCTTAGGCATTCAAATTCAAAACAAGTTACCTAACTGCAATAAGGAAAAAGGCGCTAAAATATCAACTTGGCTTTGTAGCATGTTAGTGGCACTATTTTGTAAGCAACTCACATGTAGGGGATCTACCAGCATAACTAGGTTTTAGTATATCGCTTTTGTTTCTATGCTAACTTAAGTTGGAAGGAACATATTATAATATGTCACATGATTTTTTTTGCCTTTTTTTATCTGTCTGATAAGATGATTTTTATAAATAAATAGACTTAATGTCCGTCATGTGATGACGATGATGAGAGATATAAGCAAGCATTTTTTTTTTCAATAAAAAAAACATGTTTCTATTAAAAATTGTATCAAAATTGGATAAAACTATCACTCATTGAATTGCTAAATTGTATTGGCGTAAATGTGATCTTGACCCAAGACCAGGTCAGCAATAAAATTTAAATTCGTTCGGTCATGTTTTTATTATTTCATGTCAAGATGTTTGCGTAGAACACACGCGTTCCTAGCCGACCAGACACGCCTATTTATTGACACGGTAAATATTTGTCTACGTTATCAAGGGAAAATGAAACTAAAGTGTACGGTTAACAATACTGCCGATATTATGTTCACACGGAACAACAAATGTCCATGTCGGATTGTCGGTGGTAACAATTTGGGCGAGATAGTGTTTTTTTTCACGCTATCGGTAACGATTTGTGTCCGTTTCGATTCCGTCCGCATTACAGAATTCCCTACGATAGAGTTAATGTAACATGACTATGTAACTATATGTATGAGAAATATTAAATAAATAAAAATAACATGACTGTGTTATATAGACAATAAAGATTCAATAAAGGTAGGTACTATAGTTTTGGATGGCAATGAATTACTAAATACCTGTTATTGGATAGGTATGTATGCTGTACGTATGGAACACATGTACATACTTGATAATATTATAATAGAAATAAACGATTAGCAACAATCATTATTTTTATTCATGAACTAGGTGACCGGCAAAGGCATACAAATGATAATTAACTTACGAATCAAGTATAGGGCAATTACTTCTGCTGTAGGTATCATTTGAAGTTTCTACATTATTATTTTAAATACGACAGATGATTTCTTCATAATTATGTTATTAGCCATAAGTCCACTGCTGAACATAAATGTGATTTATTAAGACATTGTTAGTGTTAGTATTTATAGAAGTGGCATCGATATGGAGAGAGGTCTGGACACATTCCTCTAACCAAGATTGGTTTCCTAATGAGATAAACAAGCGGTCCAAACTGTGACGCATGTTGAAGAAGAAAGAAATATTGTGAAGTTAACATTAATGCTACAGAAATAGGTGGTTTTCAGTCCGTTTTGTCCAAACCATACTGTGACGATGCTGTCAAGATGTGTTCGGATGTAGTTTGGACAGATCCTAATATTTCTTGCTACTCATGGTCACGATGAGTCTGACATTATTCCCTTAGATTTAAACATTTTTGTTATATTTTAATAAAGAGCGAAAAAAAATATGGACAGAGTAATTAATTTTTGGGCAATAAAGTGAATGACAATAATTGCCATGGGCACTGCCATATCCCAGATTATAGATCACTAATAAAGTAGGTAATCATCTCTAACTAATACTACCCTCTTCACCACAATATGTTTCAACATTATTATAACGAAATTGCAACAGCAAATAAGGATCTGAGAAAGTCAGAAAAGGTCATACTAATTTTGTCTTTTAAATTGCTGCTGCTGACCTGACCCAATTAAGGGTTATTCACACTGGCAACATGCACTTTCTTTAGAGTTTCTTGTCTGTGGTACTTATGTTCTAATTTTAATAATGAAACACTATCTAACTGTTCTCAACTTCTCATAATAAAATTGCAAAAGACTTTAGGCAGATTGAAGACTTACAAAAAAAAAAAAATGTTTCACATAAAATATTGTATTCTTCATTGTTTTTCTAGCAAAGCATTTTTATGAATGATTTTTTATTAATTATTTAACTTATTGAAAATCCACAATAAAGGTTCTGTTACCAAAAAGGAGAAATAATTTCATTATCATCAAGTTCATTGTTATTTAAGTATTGTTTGAACATTAATTATATTCATATTATCAAGTTGTTGACAAAACATTTATGACTGCAAGAAAAATAATACCAACATTTTAATCAGTGAGTTTAATTACTTAACTCGTCGAGTACCGGTTTTATAGACACAATTAAAGAACAATAGGTCGCGGTCACCGGTGACCGCTTGGTGTTTGACAGATTAATTACAATAATGCTAGGGCATTAGCTTGTAAAACAAGTACCTATAATAATAGAGGCTTAGGGCAATGGTCAAACATATACAGAGCAAGAATTTATAATGACTTACTTATTCAGCTTAGAGATGTAAAGAATAAAATTAAAATGTTGTCTTCTGTATAATCTTTAATTTTTAAGTTGCCCACACTAGGATTTTCTCCTGTATCATGGGTGCGTTTACAAACAGAAGTTCACCATACACATGTCACCCACACCTGGCACAACTCTGTGGATCAAAGAGTTTTCCGTGCGGGAATCGAACTCGCGACATGTTCCGCGGCAGCCAGTTGCCCAGTCACCGTGTCAACCGTGCCGTAGAAATCTACTGTTCATTATATTTTTAAAAAATAGACTTAGCAAAGGAAGTCACTGAGAGATAGTGACTGATACATGAAAAACATATCACCCACTAACTATTCAAGTCCATTGTTTTCATCATGAGTTAATGAGATACAAATATTTATCTAGGCTCTATTATTTAGTAGGATTTCTACAAAATAGTTTACATATGCACTTTCCAGCCAATATTATAATATTTTTTTTTACTTATTTAACTCTAGTTACAAATGAGGTTTTATTCAATAACTATATACTTGACAGTGTCAAAGAAGAGTTAAGAATTTTCTTTCTAGAAAATAATAAAATGACAATCATTGTTATTTTTAACTACTTTACTGCACCTTACGGTACTTGTTTTAATAAGTCATTGATCCAGTAGTAAAAGAAAGTAATAAATTAGAATTTAAAGAATCTAATTACACATTCAAACTCTTTTAAAGCTGCATAGAATCAAGACTTATTGCTTCTAATAAAACTGTTTACAAACCAAATATGCAAAACAGACTAATGAAATAAATTCATGGTACTATGTGTGTTATTGCATGGGGATTTAGGTTCAAGGTGGCATGTACATGAATCAGGATGAACTTTGTACTTGAGCTTGTTGGTTCCCTTTTATTAGATAATGGCCAATAGTTCATTCATCTGCCCCTTGCGCCTCGTGTGAACTGGAGGCAACTGGCTATAGATATACATGTATTATTTTTTAATCAGACCTTATTATTTTTCTTCGATAAAGAAATAAACTGTATTTATAAATTTAATTTAATAGCTTTCATTATAAAATTAAATACTGTATACTGTACTAATGAAATAAATAAATATTTGAATCAATAAGTCCTTTATTACATTAAATATTACATAGAAAACAATGATTGTACAACAAGATAAATATTTCAACAATTTAAAGGGTGAATGGGACAGGATATGGAAACTTGGATAGGTCTTCATGAAGGAGTTTGGTTTCTGGAAAGAAGTTAAAAATAAATAATTATTTAGAGAATAATGACGACCAAAAGTACAACTGTAGGTATTCTAACAACTTACAAAAGCAACCTGCTTAATTAAAAAAAAAAATACAGATATACCTAAAAGCACTATGAACCATGGGAAACTATCGTACCTATTTTTTTTTGTTCAGGATATTGATAAGTAGGTACAGTAACTTCGATATTCCACATATGTTTTAATTTGATAATAGCGAGTTACCGTTCGGGCGCGTACGTACTTATTTGTGTCGGCAAGCAAATATAATTAATTATTTACATTATAATCACGCTGTTACCGAAATATTAATTCGAAAAGTACTATGTCGTGTCTTTTATATAAGTTTTGGGGCGTTTCGGACTTGGCAATGTCATTATAACGTAGCGTCGGTCGTAAATACAATACCTCGATGTTTAGCGAGTCTGGCTAAACGAGCCTGATTAGCATAATTCGATGTCGAACACGTATTAAAGCTACCTACTTCGTGCACTCAACTAAAACGCAAACAAGTTAATAACCAAAACCGAATTAGCAACGACAATGCAAGAGTTTATTATTAGATCTGATATTAAATATTTACTTACCGGATTTCAACCATTTTTCAAACGCCTGTTTAGCATTCAAACGTTCCGGTACCCTGTCCAAAGGCTGAGATAATTCTTGAGTATACGTAAAATAACTTCTGCTATACTTTGCACTACTCAACGCGGCACTTATTCTGCCGAAATTACGGCTTGAAACATTCGGTACAAATTTACACACAGACATTTCGGCGAAATTTTACTAAACTTGAATCTTAATTTTAGTCCACCTATTTTATTTTGATTGTAATAATTAAATGTGCCAAATTTTAATTTATTGAACGTCCAGCGCCCGACCACACAGTACTCAAATTAAATTTGATTGGCGGAAGCGCGGAAGAAACAAGTACCGAGCGCAAACAAACGTCAAATCTAGCTTGACACGGCGAACGGTCACAACATTGCCAGTAAAAATAAAAACAAAATTTTATTTGTAATTTCTTCATATTTTATGAACATTTTACAGTAAATATAAGATAACAAATATGAATATCGTTATAGTAAAATAATCATCTCATCCTAATCTTTTTATGATCATACATTTAGATGATACTCTAATACTTTAAAAACCTTTTGGAAAAGGTTGGCTAATGGTAAACGAATTTCAGTTTTGGGAGAAACTATATGAAATTCTGTTCAAAACCAACCATAATGTACTAAATTAATGCAATTAATTAATTATTATTATTAGATAATTTTATTAACTTTGATTTGGTATTGTGGCTTAACGAAAGATTTATCTCGAATTTGAAAGAAATTTAACACGATCGAGTTTTCTTAGTAAATACATTTCCACAGACAAAAATGACTTTTTAAAAAGTAAATACTTGATAATATTGCTAGACTCAATAAACTTCCCTGAAAATAAGGAGAATTTTATATTTTTACCTACATCAACAAAAGAGGTAGTTGTCTTCTATATTTAACACAAATATTTTTAACGTGTATGTTCGGTGCAGCAATTCGAGGATGCCTAGACCATTTTTTTGATCGATTTAATTAATTCCGTATGAAAATTATTTTTAGTTTCAACTTAAGCATCTCTTCATGATTATAATCTTATGATGACTTTGAGGTCCCTTTTGTACAAAATTCAGCAGACTAGTAAACACAGATGTTTAATGTTTTTGGTAGCGCTGTGTGTTATATTTAAACAAAATTATAATATTAGAAATCGTTAAGGTACCCACAATGTAGCTATTCCTTTAATAAAAATTATTATGGGAAAATGCTCTAAAAAAGTATCGATTTTTGGGGAAATAATAGTACCATAGAGCTAGTTTTGCCTTGTGATAGGTCACGTGACGGCACGTGAAGTAACATAGACAATACATCCATTCGTCAGTTTTCGGGCGAGGAGGCAGCGCAGTTTGCTGTTTTATTGAGTGGACTGCCAAAAAGCGAAAACTGAAAAATGGCAAAAACCCTTTCACCTGCCCAAGCGACTAAGGAACATGTCTTGGCTGTATCCCGGGACTTCATATCCCAGCCCCGTCTCAGTGAGTACACCAAAATTTTGTTCGTCTATTTCGGAAAATGTCGTATTACTTGTCAATGAGAATATCGATTTTATCTTGTAGTTCCTTAGTTAGCCGTAATTATTGTTTTCTTTCATCCCTGTGTGCAATAACAAGGGTTGTGGGTCTTATTTTGGTAGTAAATTCTGGTTGCCAAGGGAATACTTTGACAAGAGATAATTATCTGACGGAATTTGGGGCTTCCATTTCTTAGATGATAGAATAGCTGCGTCAGACGCACCTAAATGCAAGTAAGTGGTATTATATAGCCCGTCATACCTTTAAAGTGGGCTAATTATTGTTTTTTTATGAAAACCGAGTGTTGTCGTCATGACATTCTCAAAATTTGTCACCTGATCATACTTTTTCTAATCTGACGCCACAACCTTTTTACATTCAGCCTTTAGTTGTGTAAGTAGTTCTTATATGAATTATTGTAATTGTATTACTGAACACAAGGTTTTAATAAGTGTCTTCATATTAGGAAGATTAAAAAAATGAGTTTTAGCTTATTTCTTGTGTATTGTGTAACTAAGGATTACACTATGTACTTATAAGATGCTTTACTGTTAAACTGGTAATGATATTGGGTATAATGCTATAGTAGTCTCTTTTGATCTCTTTTGGCTCTTAGAGTTCAAGCTGTATAATAAAAGATATTTGGGCCAAAGCTGATTTTAAGATCTTTGAATTCCATTGATTATTAAATATTTCGAGGCTCAATCAGCTGTGAATCTACCCTAAAAGTATATATATTTATAATCAAGGTGTGATCTATATTGTGTCAAATTAGGTCATATGATCATATCCATCTGCCTAAAAATGACAGCTGTACATAACTGTCATATAGGGAAAATAATTTGATCAGCTGATGTTGTTTATGGTTAAAGATGAATCTTATTTGAAATATATTAATAAGAATGATCCCGGGGCTGTACTGATAAGCAACTTATTAGAATATCAGACAAATTATTAGTTAGACCAATTACCTACATACCGTCTTTAGTTTTAACCAAAACTGTTCCACAAAATGCACATGACGACCATTAGTATTCCTAGCAAACTGGAATACTTCATAAGTTATGGAAATGTAACCAAACTATGAAGAATGTAAGATTTATAATCATGGTATAGTTATATTAAGCAATTCTTGTTGTAACCTATAAAATAAAACTTACCAAACCATGACATCATAAGCAAACTGATATTGAAGAAAATTGTACCTAATTTGAAAATTATGCTAATATTCTCTTTTAAAAGTTACTGAATGCAATGGATTGGAATGACAATCTTATTTAACATTAACTTTTACCCGCGGCTTTGCCCGCATATTCCTGTTTTATCCCATGGGAACATTTAATAGATAAAAAACATCCTATCACCTAAGTCAGCCCATACACTGCCTGTATACCAAATTTATCAAATCCGTTCAGCGTAATTGAAGGACATGATGTCGTCCCATAAGCAACCTAGTCACTCGGGCCTTGAAGACACCCAGGTTATACCCTTCAAGAAATACACTCTGGCAAAAGACCTACAATGTACTTTAGATGTAGCTCTGGCTGCAAATATATTCCATAATCTTCGCTTACCATCAGATGATCTGTAACCTTTATTGCTACCAGTAGTCATGTAAAAAATAAGTCCTTACTTTCTTACTAATCAGCTGTTTGAAATCAATCAATTTCAACTAAAAACTAAAGTCAATGTGATAAGATAAACAGTCTATAACCCTGTTTTTGACACTAACATCAATCTTATTCAGAAATATTTCTAGATTGTAGAGAACAAGTAAGCTAGATTCTAGAATACAACTAGACAAAATAATGTTCACAAAATAGTCCTCTTATCATGTCTTACTTAACCTGCTTTTTATATTTTCCATTTGGATAATTTCTATCTATACTAATATTATAAAGCTGAAGAGTTTGTTTGTTTGTTTGAACGCGCTAATCTCCGAAACTACTGGTTCGAATTGAATAATTCTTTTCGTGTTGGATAGTCCAGTTATTGAGGAAGGCTACAGGCTATATAACATCACGCTACGACCAATAGGAGCAAAGATATAGTGGTAAATGTGTAAAAAACGGGAGAAATTATTATTTAATATATTAGATGCTGTGTCGGACTCTAATTCAATTTTACTTCTAGTTTAAACTCTGCTTTAATTTTGGAGTTTGTTTAGGCTTAAGGTTCTCCTATCTCTAATGACATCAATGGTACATTTTCAGTACACATTACTTACTTCCATACCTATCTCAAGAGAAATACCAGATGCTAATGAGAGTAGAATGAATATCCATAACTGAAAAACAAAATATGTACTCCAAACTGCTAATACTAATAAGATAATTGCATTCAAGGACACTTATCTTTCATTACTCCAATACATAACACATACATTTTCTAATTCTAGTACTTTATTAGACCTAAATAGAATACATTATGCAGTTTTATTAAGGAAAAGTAGTCCTTATGCAGCTTCCTTGTTATTGATTGTATGAAAGTAGGTCATGCTACTTTCCTGGCGATTGTCCAGTTTGAGTACTATTTTGTATCTACTATGTTAAAGATTTTTTTTTGTAAGCATTGTTACTTACAAATGTTTATTTATTTATTTCAATTTGGGTAACCGGCGTTTTACAAAGAGTAACAATTCAGGATATGAACAAAGCTAATTGAGTTTCCAGGGTAACAAAATTAAAACTCTAATTAGTCCGTCAGTTAGGTAATGAAAAAATATTAGACACTTATTTTTTTATTTTCTTGTATTAAGTTGCAATACTTAAATAGAATCAGAATCAGAATCAGAATCATCATTTATTTGTTAAACATAGGTAGTTTACATAATAAGGTCTTAAATATAAAGATAGTCCACTATGTTTTGCCGTGATAGACATACAAATATATTAGGTACATGCATTTAAAACATTATTACAATTTCAGTTAAATTTTGTATAATAATAATAAAATAATAAAAATAAGGTATGTCAAAATTATGTCAATTAAAATTATCAAATTTATCAAGAAATACATTAAAATTGTCAAGAAAAAATTGAAATTGTCAAGAAATAAATTAAATTTGTCAAAAAATATTATCATTAAGGAATTCTTCAATTGAGTAATAGCATTTGTTTAATAATAGTTTATTGAGAATACTTTTAAATCTAATTACTGTTGTATTTTTTATTTCATTGGGAATCTTATTATAAATTCTAGGGGCATTACCAAACAAACTTTTGTACATAAGTGCTGTTTTTAATGAAATGGCACTACGTTTAGGAGTCGGAGTTGTCGGTTGTTACGTCATAACGTGCCACAAAATGTGGCACGCTGTGACGTCACACGATATTTCAAATTAATATATCGACGAAAGTATTTCGTTTTATGAGAAAAGAAAAAAATATGGGTCTCAAGTTTGAAATTAATGTACATACCAGATGGACATTAAAATAAAATTTAGGAAACTATCTTATTATAGGTTTCCACGGCTCTAGCTACACGGGTTCGATCCCCGCACGGAGCAACTGTTTGTGTGATGCACAAATTGTTGTTTCGGGTCTGGGTGTCATGTGCGTGTGAACTTTTATGTTTGTAAACTCGACACAGGAGACAATCCTAAAATGTGGCAGTTTGTTAAAAAGAAAAAAAATAAAAGATTATCGACTTTCAACACGATGAAGTAAAAATAAAATAAAAATGTAATTAAAATTTTTTCATAGTACAGGTTTAGGGTGTATAGGACCAAACACTCATAATAATTCAGTAAAATACCATAAATGTGTTATTAACAATATTCTTCTATTTGTGTAGCTTACAAGACGGTGTCTGGTGTGAACGGGCCTCTGGTCATCTTGGACGAGGTCAAGTTCCCCAAGTTCTCCGAGATCGTACAGCTCAGACTCGCTGATGGCACCCTCCGCTCCGGTCAGGTATGTTGATGACGATGATCTAAAATTATTATTAAACTATTTATAGAAAGCAGCATGGAGCATTTTTTCTTATGATCCACCGGGTGCTCGTAAGGACGGTCGAGGGGTTAAGACATTTCCAAATAATATAAGTTTCTTTTACGCTAAACCTATTTGAATTTGTTTTATTCCTTATATCTGCCGGCAGACTATTCAATAGATATGGTAGGTAGTTGGTATTCGGTGTAATGTTTAAACAGTTAATATTTAGTCCCTTTGGCATGAGGTAATCCTGTTTTTTAACCGACTTCAAAAAAAGGAGGTTCTCAGTTTCGTCTGTATCTATGTATGTTTGTGCGCGATTATCTCGCGATTAGCGGAACCGATTTTTCAGAAATGTATTTGTTACACTTCGAAGAAGCTTTAAGTGTATTAATTAACTGACTTCAAAAAAAGAGCCAAAGTTGAAGCCAGCTTTTTTAAACTGAGTTTTTTTTATGAAAGAATGATTTTTATTGCCCAACAGTGCTGCAATTCTAATTGCTGAGTTACTGAGTTTATTAAAAACAATACTCTCAATACCCCACATCTAATCTGTGTCTTCATGCATGGAAATCTTCACCACCCGAAACTCGAACACTTCAAAAAAAACTCCTTTTTAATCCCATCGCAGAGAATTAACTTCGAAGTTTTCAAAAGCTTACTACTTTGACCCCAGGTGCTCGAGGTCAGCGGCACCAAGGCCGTGGTCCAGGTGTTCGAGGGTACATCAGGTATCGACGCCAAGAACACTCTCTGTGAGTTTACCGGCGATATCCTGCGTACTCCCGTCTCTGAAGATATGTTGGGTGAGTACACATCATACTATTATCATCAACAACCTATAACTACCCACTGCTGAGCAAAGCCTCTTCTCACACGGAGAAGGTTTGAGCATTAATCACCACGCTTGCTCAATGCGGGTTGGCGATTACAAACTTATAATTAGAAATTATAAGCGTAGGTTTCCTCACGATGTTTTCCTTCACCGTTTGTCACTAGTGTCTAGATAATCTTAGAAAGTACATATGACTCGGAAAAAGTCACATTGGTACTGGCCGTTGGTAGGTTTCGAACCAGCACCTTCATGCATGAGAAGTGGGCGTCTTAAACCTCCGGGCCACCACGACACGACATCATACTATATAATGTAAGAATTAATAATAATATGTGATCTCTTCTTTGTCGTTTCGCTATTGGCAGAGCGGTCGTGGTCACGTTGAGGCGGCCGTATTTGTGTTGGAGTTGGAATCTGACACTGGGTTTCCCGTTGCCGATTTGACTTGATCAGTTCAGCGCATAGGTGATCTGGTTTCTGATCTCGTTCTCGTTACTTGTTGGTTATAGGAATAAGGTTAATAATAATTATAGGGAATAAGATTGTTTCAAAAGTGTCATCTGTAATTTGAGAATCTTGAAATTATATCAGTTATCACTGATGTTAAGAAATCTAATAAGAATATTGATAACGATTAGAAGTTACTGAGATGCTTGACATTGGGAAGAATAAATTATAAGACTTAACAAAAAAGACCTTGACTATTCTATATTAAGGTACATTCTACGTCCTTTGATGTAGTTACAATAAGCACTCAACAGATTGTTGTATTCATTGATAATTTTGTTACCGATCTATGAGTCATTATAAGTAAATTGATATCTAACAACTATCAAGTCATTAGACTGTGAAGTATGAGTTAGACTCAAGCCTAACGATTCTTGTCATTTATCTGATAAGCTGATTGCATGAGTGCATAATGCAATGGTCTGAAGGCAAATGGGACAATCATGTTGTTCATTTTGCCTCTATTAGATGAATGGCCAAAAAAAGTGTATTCTGTGTTTTATTGCTGGAACAGACTAAATGAGCCGGGAAGGGCTTAACGGGTTACCGGGGCTTCGGCTCGAAGTGCAGGAGTAGGAACGGGGTGGTTTTTAGTCAGTAAGAGTCTGACACTCGCTCTCGCATCACCCAGGCGGGAGAAGTTATTGGATGATTTCCCCCCCCCCCCAAAAGTAATCAAAAAATGTATTGTTCAGTTTTTTTTAATGGAAATACTCACCGATTTGTCTTTGTACAGTACAGAAACATATAAAAAAATTGTTGCTGTATTATGTTATCAAAAGATTACTATCAACATGTTTGCCTTATTTCGTAAAGGCTACCGCCGTCGTTAGGATTTCGTATCATACAATCCTATGATAAAGTAGTGTTACAACGTTTTATCTCATTTTAATTTAACTATATTTTACATTAAGAAAATTACATACTCCAAAATTAGTCTCAATGTTAAAACATATCTTATGATTTAAAAAAGAAAATGGAGTATGCATGAAGTTGCTTAACCACTCTCATCAATATGAAATACAGTTTGGAACAAGCAACTGGCTTCATTAATAAGCTCCTTAACTCGTCGAGTACCGGTTTTATAGACACAATTAAAGAACAATAGGTCGCGGTCACCGGTGACCGCTTGGTGTTTGACAGTTTAAATAAACGGAATGGTGATTTCCCTATTACATTGGACTCATGTCGTAACATAATTGGTGAAAAGTGAATGTTACATTGAATATGTGCACTTTTTAATGCCTATAGACCAATTCAAATTCAAATAGTGTATTTACAACATCAATGAACATAATTACTCGTTATTCCCCAGGTCGTGTATTCAACGGCTCCGGAAAGCCCATTGACAAGGGTCCCCCAATCCTCGCCGAGGACTTCTTGGACATCCAGGGACAACCCATCAACCCATGGTCCCGTATCTACCCCGAGGAGATGATCCAGACTGGTGAGCATTAATCTTCTTAGCTACATCAGATAGGAGATTATACATACTTTAAGGACTTCTGTCCAATTTGATTTGCAAGTGGCGTAAAACAAAAGTCAACATTTTGTTTCGTAATGTTTTTATAATAACTATAGTGAGACATGCTAATTGAAATAAAAATGACGAGATATTCACGTTTATATACTGAGAAAAGCTCTACTAGTTTCGAGTCACAGAGGGACTCTTCCTCATGACCAGCATACGACTAGACTACGACATAACAAGTAGAGCAACTAGTAGTTTAGATTCTCAGTATGTTTACATGTAATTTAGTAACTCGTAATTTTTAGTTAATTTTGTTTAGTATTTCTATACTTAGATTTTTTTTAATTGTGAATAAAATTTGTTCAGTTTAATAGCCTGAACAAGCAGCTGACAGATCTTCTATTAATTCTATCTTTACCCACCATAGTAAGGGGACTGGCATGACAATAATAATATGTATGTACTACGCTACATCAAGGATATACATAATTATTGTACTACACAGGTATCTCCGCTATCGACGTGATGAACTCCATTGCTCGTGGTCAGAAGATCCCCATCTTCTCTGCCGCTGGTCTGCCCCACAATGAAATTGCCGCCCAGATCTGTAGACAGGCCGGTCTTGTTAAGGTAAGATTCTAATAAATATTGAACAACATGTGATAAAAATGACAATGATTTGAAAATAACTGTTAAAATGTTTTTCTCAATCTCTTACTATTTTTCACTATTAAATATTTATATTTTATAATCTCGACATTTTACTTAGATCCCCGGCAAATCAGTGTTGGATGACCACGAGGACAACTTCGCCATCGTATTCGCCGCTATGGGTGTGAACATGGAAACCGCCCGGTTCTTCAAACAGGACTTTGAAGAGAATGGTTCTATGGAGAACGTGTGCCTGTTCTTGAACTTGGCCAATGACCCCACTATTGAGAGAATCATCACACCCCGTCTTGCTTTGACTGCTGCTGAGTTCTTGGCCTACCAGTGCGAGGTAAGTTTTATAACTATTTCACTGTTCTATGCATAAATATTTAAATGTGCAAATTAAATTAGCGGTGCAGTTAAACTTAATTTATAATTTGTGATAACAATGCTAGAGATTCATAAACAGCCTATAAATGCCCATTGTTGAGCAATGCCTCTTCATACATGTAGAAGGTTTGAGATCACCACATTTGCTCAATGCGGCTTGGCGATTTCAAACTTATAATTGGAAATTATAAGCCCAGGTTTCCTCACAATGTTTTCCCTTCATTGTTTGTCAGTGGTCTATGTAGTCTTAGAAAGTATATATAATTCGGAAAAAGTCACATCGGTACTTGTCGTTGATAGGTTTCGAAACCGGGTCACCACGACATTTAGAGATTTACTGCTAGAGATTACGATGGTTAAAAAACTATCGTAATATGTTTGAACTTATAGTTAGCATCATTCCAATTTGCTCGTTGATAGATGTAGGAAATGCGTGAATTTCATGAAGCAATTATTAACACTTAAAATTCTTTTGATTCTTATTGGACATGTTGGTTAACAATGTAAAATAAATTTATTGTTTAAAGTTACCTTGTTATAATTATGTATTATATTTATACAGAAACACGTGTTGGTCATCTTGACTGACATGTCCTCATACGCCGAGGCTCTGCGTGAGGTGTCCGCCGCCCGTGAGGAGGTACCCGGACGTCGTGGTTTCCCAGGTAAATACTAAACAGACAATCCAAAGAAAGACTGTGCTGATGGTTAACTTTCTTCATGATAAGTGTTTATGTTAGTGTTACCCTCAGTAAAATAAATGATATACCGCAACCTGCAATTCAATAAAATACTTTTTCTATTATTTTACCTTTAACTACTAAATGACTAATGATTATCTTATAGGCTGGTCAAGATAGACATAAATAATGTCCAGGTTGTGACTCAATTTTGTCTATTTTGACCGGGCTACTTATCTAAGGACTATCTATCTATCAGCGAAACGTAGTTCTTATACCATTAAAAAACAAATGAACTAATCAACACAATGCTTCCAGGTTACATGTACACCGATTTGGCCACCATCTACGAGCGTGCCGGACGTGTAGAGGGCAGGAACGGCTCCATCACCCAGATCCCCATTCTGACTATGCCTAACGACGACATCACCCATCCTATTCCTGACTTGACTGGTTATATTACTGAGGGACAGGTGAGAAATACTTATATTACTTTTAAAGTAATTATTATACTGGTGTAAACAGAACACTCCGAAAAACGAAAGGTGATGGTTAAAAACAAGTTTTATTGTCATAAAAGTAAGGAATAGGGTAGTTGCCAGGAATTGAAAATTAAAACTCTAATTAGTCCGTCAGTTAGATAGTGAAAAAATATTAGACACGTATTTTTTTATTTTGTCGTATAAAGCTACAATACTTATAAAAATGGAGTTAAGTTTTAGTCGTTACGTCATAAAGTCCTAAAAAATGTAGGGCATAGTGACGTCACACGATATTTTAAATTAATATATCGTCGAAAGTATTTAATTTTGTAAGGAAAGAAAAAATACGTGTATAATGTTTTAAATTAATTACGCAAGTACCCGAACCCGAACATCGCTCCACTTATTTGAAAACATAAGACAAGTTTTATTTAAATATTTTAAAAGCACTTGGCCAATGAGACAGCCAGGTCGCAAGTGCGACTGATGGGCCCTTTCTCGGGTTCGATTCTCGGGTCGGACAATGTATTACAGGGTTTTTTAAAAATCTCAGTTGTAGTACGGAGTCTGGAATTGACCCCAGTATATGGCAGTAGGCTCACCCCCTATTATATGGGACTAATAGCATAAATGGTAAAAAGTGGGTGTTACATTGTATCATGGCATTAAGTGCCGTAATATGCACCTTTGCGGTGTAATGTTATATTATTTTATTTTATACACAAACTTACGAATCGTACTTATCCCTAGATCTACGTAGACCGTCAGCTCCACAACAGACAGATCTACCCGCCAGTGAACGTGCTGCCATCTCTGTCACGTTTGATGAAGTCTGCCATCGGTGAGGGCATGACCCGCAAGGACCACTCTGATGTCTCCAACCAGCTGGTGAGTTCAACTTTAGCAATAACATGGTTGATGAGAGATACTTCAATTTATACTGATACTAGTGACTCGACTCTGCCTGGGCCGGGTGCTATTTTCGCTATCTATATAAATAAAAATGAGTTTCAGTTCCTTAGTCTCGCTAAAACTCGAGAAAGGCTGAACCGATTTGGGTAATACGGGCGGTACGTAGTGTGCCGGGTCAGCTAGTTTGTAGATAGTTTATAGATATTTAAATCTACTGAATTTCTGTTCCATAAACAAGAGTTCAATTATATTAATGTTTACTTGATCCTCTCATCATAACATTATCTATGGTTACTAATGTTGATATTGTAATTCCAGTACGCTTGCTACGCTATCGGTAAGGACGTGCAGGCGATGAAGGCCGTCGTCGGTGAGGAGGCGCTCACCCCTGATGACTTGCTCTACCTCGAGTTCCTCACCAAGTTCGAGAAGAACTTCATCTCTCAGGTATGTTTTGACATTGTTACCAGATAATATGATAAAATATGATATAGAAATTCTCCAGTTGATGCTAATTGTACCATCTTGCCGGGGAAATATTGTTGTCATTGAGCTGCATTTTTTATCAAAATAAAGCCCATTTTTACTCGATACATTGTGACATTTTACTAACAAATATAAATGCTTGTTTTACCAGGGTAACTACGAGAACCGCACAGTGTTCGAGTCCCTGGACATCGGTTGGCAGCTGCTCCGTATCTTCCCTAAGGAGATGTTGAAGCGTATCCCTGCATCCATCCTCGCCGAGTTCTACCCGCGTGACTCCCGCCACTAGGACCCTCGCCACACACTGCACGACTCCAACACCTCTCGTGTATAATGTCGCCGACCGACGTGCACCTCGTGCCAGTCAGCGCGAACATATTCTTGTAAGATAATACTGTTTAATAGTAAGTTGTTAATAGTTTATTATAATGTATTACATACATGTATTATGATCATGTGCAAAATTATATAAACACGTATAAATCGTAAGTAACAGCCGTCTTAATGCTGAATACCGACCGACTTGTGTATATATTTTCATGTTGTACTCTAGAAGAATGTACTGAGCGGTTAAATTATTATATTTTTGAATAGATGCCATTATTTGTCTTTATTGTTTCGGTGCTTCGAACTTCAAATATTACTTGAACAATATTTAGCTAAAAGTATTTTTGTGCACAAATTGTTGACATGTGTTCAAATTATATGTAATAATCAAATCTGTTATAAACCAAGATGTTACTATTTATTGTGTGATATCGCTTGAAACTTCCGCCGTTTGTGATGTGAAAGATATTTATGTAAATAAAGCAATAGCCCAGTAACGAGACGTTACATTCCAAATTGTTTTCCTGTTCACTCCAAAGCTAGATTCTGTATTCAGCTAATAAAAGTGAATTAGGATACTGTTGTTTTCAATGGAAATAAAAATATAGAAAGTTAAAACTTGTTTTTTTCACTTGCCTTTATTCTCTTCTCATTGTATCAGAAAAAGAATACCCCATGTGAAATAATTTGCTGATTGAGGGACAGGGTGGAAATTTTTTTTCTGAAGTGAATCCACTTCTCTGACGGACGGAATCACAACAGAACTTCTGCGAGCGGGTGGAAAACCGATACTTTTAGTCCTCCAGAAACTATTCAATTCCGTCATTCTCGAATGAACTATGCCGAAAGCATGGCAAAGGAGTGTAGTGGTTCTGTTCTTCAAGAAGGGTGACAACTCTTTGTTGAAGAACTATAGACCCATCTCGCTTCTGAGCCATGTATATAAGCTGTTTTCGAGGGTCATCACGAACCGTCTCGAACGCAGGTTTGATGACTTCCAGCCTCCCGAACAAGCCGGGTTCCGGAAAGGCTTTAGCACCATAGACCACATTCATACGCTGCGGCAAGTTATAAAGAAGACTGAGGAGTATAACTTGCCACTATGCTTGGCGTTTTTGGACTATGAAAAAGCCTTTGATTCGATCGAGACCTGGGCGGTGCTGCAGTATCTCCAGCGATGCCATACCGACTACAGATATACCGAGGTGCTAAAGTGTTTGTATAGAAACGCCACCATGCGCATCCGACTCCAGGAAGATAGCACGGAACCAATCCAATTGCAGAAAGGCGTGAAACAGGGAGACGTGATTTCTCCGAAACTGTTCACCAACGCATTGGAGGACGTTTTCAAGCTTTTAAACTGGAGTGGACTGGGCATCAATATCAATGGCGAATACATCACACACCTCCGCTTCGCCGATGATGTATGTAGTGATCATGGCGGAGTCGCTGGAGGACCTAAATACCATGCTCAGCGACCTCGATGTCGTCTCCCAACAGGTGGGTCTTAAAATGAACATGGACAATACCAAAATCATGTCACACATCCGTGTTGCACCTGTACCGGTCATCGTTGGGAACGATATCCTCAAAGTTGTAGACCATTAGAGGTATACATATTTAGGGCAGATTATACAGCTAGGTAGGTCCAATTTCGACAAAGAGGTCGCCCGAAGAATCCAACTTGGATGGGCAGCGTTCGGGAAGTTACACGAAATCATCTCATCGAAAATCTCTCAGTGCCTAAAGAGGATATTCAACCAGTGTGTGTTGCCAGTGATGACGTATGGTACCGAGACGTGGTCCCTGACCTCTGGCCTTCTGGAGAAGCTCAAAGTCGCTCAGCGTGCAAAGGAGAGAGCTATGCTCGGGGTTTCTTTGCGCGACAAAATCCGAAATATGGAAATTCGCCAAAGAACAAGAGTTACCGACATAGCTCGCAAAATCTGCAGACTAAAGTGGCAATGGGCAGGCCACGTCGCTCGAAGGACTGACGGCAGATGGGCCAGGAAATTCCTTGAGTGGAGACCACGGACCGGAAGACGAAGCGTGGGCAGGCCCCCGCTGGGTGGACCGACGACATCGCCAGAGTTGCGGGGAGCCAGTGGATGCGGGTGGCGAGTTGTCGTTCGACGTGGAGGACTAAGGGGGAGGCCTCTGTCCAGCAGTGGACGTCTTCCGGCTGTTGATAATCATGATGAATCCACTTAAAAAATTCTAAACAATAATATTACCTAAATTTTCTCCGAACCCCTCTGTGAGCAATGAAATATGTCAGAATCTAGAGATCCTAGCTATTTTCGTAATTGAAAACATGTTTACTGATTGAGTGACAGGATGAGAAAAATGACTTGCTAGGGTTGGTCCCATTTGTAAAAGGATGACGGGCAAACGTGTATGGGAAATGTAGGTACCTACCGACCAATAACGACCAGACGTAGTTTCAATTCGTTGTGGGGAAAATTTTATAGTTGCTATGATCTAAACAAAGGATAAAGCGAACCAAATATATAAATGATAATCATTTCATGATTATCATTTGCTGCAGCTTCCTAACGACACGTCTGGTATTCACAGAACATAATTATAAAGAAGTCGTTATTGGTCGGTAGGTACATTATGCCCGTCATCCTTTGAAGCATATCTCCAGACAGGGTGAAGACAGGATTACAAATAAAAACAATAATATGTTGTTTATTATATTTATTTCAATAATTGTATCAGACACTATGTACATGCTCTGCATAGTCATGTAGACAATTTTAAGTATTCTGACGTTGACTGGAATGAAGAAAATTAATTTTCTACAAATACATATACGAAAATGTCCCGTGAAATTGGGATTACGCCGGGCGTTACATGGGTAATAAATATAAATACTAGATTATAAAATACTCCAGCTTATACCTATAGACCGCAGTGGATCGTGTAATCATTACTAATGTTAATTTGAAATATTATAAGTAGAATAACAAAAACTGCATTTTCTAGCTATCCGAATGGCGCCCGTTGAATAATACCCGCAACTTTACTGTGAATTTTGCTACGACAAATGCATTTTTTTTATAAATGGCCTTATGATTAATTTACCCCGCGATTCCGGCGATCGCTTCCGAGGCGAAGTACTTAACATCAACATCAGGATCTACATTTAGTTTCTCCAGCACAGGCTTGACTTGAGGCTGGATCACCGCAGGGTCTAGGAAGGGCGCCATCTTTTGTAAAGTCTTGGCGACGTTGAATCTAACATTAGCTACGTTGTCGTCAGCCATGGAGAGCACGGTGGGGAGCAGCACCCTGGTGGTGATGTCCTTGCCGCAGACCTCGGACAGCACGTTGATGCAGAACAGGTAGGTCATTCTGTGCAGGTAGTTCTGTTCGCGGGACATGGCCAGTACCTTGGGGATAACGTTGGTCTCTGCCCACTGAGATCCATATTGTTCTACTAATTTCTTGAGGTTAAGTGTGGCGGCCTCGCGGATGGCGTACACGTGGTCGATGAGCCAGGACATGCAGAGTCCGGTCAGTTTCTCGTCGAAGAACTCCTGTCCGAGCTGGCCGGCGAGGAGTGGCATGTGTTCGATGATGGCGAGACGGACGCGCCATTTTGTGTCTTCTGCTAACTCGACGATGGCGGGGAGTAGGGATTGCACCAGCTGTTGGATGCCAATGACTTCGTTAACGCACTCGAGGTTTGAGATTATGTTCAGCCTGACCTCGGGACACTCGTCCTTCAGTTGTGTCAGGAACAGAGGCAGGAGGTGTTCGATGGTGTTCTGTCGTCCGACGATGGGGCTGAGGCCCATGATGACGGATGCCAGCGCGGACTTCACGTGCTGGTTGGCGTCGCAGACCAGGTCCTTGATTTGTGGCAAGATCATGGTCATAATGATGTGCTCCTGATGCGCCTTGTCTAGGTTCATGCAGAAGTCCTTTACCTAAAGAGACAACATTTTATTTGAGTATAACTTAGCTGTATTTTATTTAGGTATTGATCGAACCTAAAAAAATTCACTTTGTGACTGGTTGGATACTACAAACAAGACAGCCCAGTTGCAAACATTGTTATAAGTTTCAAAACAATATACTCTAATCCATAGTCAATGAAATTATTATTCTCACCTTGCCAGCAGCAGCGGCGCGTACTTCAGCCTCAGTGTCCTTGAGTAGACCTTGGAAGATCTGCGCCAGGTCGGAGCGAGCTAGTTCAGGTCCTACTGCCTGCTGCAGCTCTACAAACCTGTAGCAACACATTTCATACATTTAATTAAGATCAGAAAGGACAAGAAAATGAATTTTGTTTAATGGCACTTTTCTTTAGTAGTTTGCATTTGTTCAGTTTGGTTTCAATATCTGACAAAACTATACTCTGCGTCACCACAACACTGGTGACTGGTATTAATGGAGGAGTGTACTTCAATAGTTTTTTGTCAGTCAAAGAGTTTAATACTATAGTTATCAAACACTCAATATTCACACAATTTTTATTCTAAAAGAACCTCAAAAAAACTTGGAAGATGTTCACCAGCTTCTCCAAAACAATGTAAACAATAATACATACTTATCAGCGACCATGTACCGCACCCTCCAGGACGTGTCCCCGGCGCGGGCGCGTACTGTCGGCATCACGAGCTGCTCCATGTCCTCGGGGGGAAGCAGCGCTGCTACTGCTGCGCATGCCTCTGCCGCTAGCAGGCGGACTGAGTCTTGTTCATCCTGATATACAAATATTAAAGTTATCAATTGTGTTTCGTTGGTTCGACGAGTTAATCTTCGGAATAAAAAGGTTTCTATTGTAAAATCTTTTTGTGTTGAATAAGTCTATTTATCAGAGGACAGGCTTGGGCTATATAGTGTCAAGCTATGACCACAAGGACGCAGCAGTTGATAAACAGCATGGGCAGTAATTCATGAAAATGAATTGAATTCATGGTTGGTGCATTGCCCAACCGGCTGCTGTGTATGCAGAATTTTGTGATTGTATATGTAACCACACACAAAAAACTATTATAATTGTAAATAGTAGAAATAAACGATTTTTTTTAAAGCGTTGTTCCACACTAGTATTTTCGCCTGTGTCGTGGGTACAGTTACAAACATACAGGGCCGGATTTAGGGGTCCAGAGGCCTCGGGGCAACAAAGGAGTGGAGGCCCCCTTGCCCCAAATTATTTTCTAGATTGCGATCGAGGACGCTCGCTTGATTCCGAGGACGCTCGATAGATTTCGAGGACGCTCGAAAACGATCGAGGACTCTCGATAGATTTTGAGGACCTTCGAAAACAATCAAGGACGCTCGAAAACGATCGAGGACGCTCGAAAACGATCGAGAACTCTCGATAATTTCGAGGACGCTCGAAAACAATCGAGGACGCTCGAAAACGATCGAGGACGCTCGAAAACGATCGAGGACGCTCGAAAACGATCGAGGACGCTCGAAAACGATCGAGAACTCTCGATAGATTTCGAGGACGCTCGAAAACAATCGAGGACGCTCGATTGATTTCGAGGATGCTCGATAGATTTCGAGGACGCCCGATAGATTTCGAGGACGCTCGAAAACGATCGAGGACGCTCGAAAACGATTGACAACTCTCGATAGATTTCGAGGACGCTCGAAAACAATCGAGGACGCTCGATTGATTTCGAGGACGCTCGATAGATTTCGAGGACGCCCAATAGATTTCGAGGACGCTCGAAAACGATCGAGGACTCTCGATAGATTTCGAGGACGCTCGAAAACGATCGAGGACTCCCGATAGATTTCGAGGACGCTCGAAAACAATCGAGGATGCTCGAAAACGATCGAGAACGCTCGAAAACGATCGAGAACTCTCGATAGATTTCGAGGACGCTCGAAAACAATCGAGGACGCTCGAAAACGATCGAGGACTCTCGATAGATTTCGAGGACGCCCTATAGATTTCGAGGACGCTCGAAAACAATCGAGGACGCTCGAAAACGATCGAGGACGCTCGAAAACGATCGAGGACTCTCGATAGATTTCGAGGACGCCCTATAGATTTCGAGGACGCTCGAAAACAATCGAGGATGCTCGATTGATTTCGAGGACGCTCGATAGATTTCGAGGACGCCCGATAGATTTCGAGGACGCTCGAAAACGATCGAGGACGCTCGAAAACGATCGAGGACTCTCGATAGATTTCGAGGACGCTCGAAAACAATCGAGGACGCTCGATAGATTTCGAGGACGCCCAATAGATTTCGAGGACGCTCGAAAACGATCGAGGACTCTCGATAGATTTCGAGGACGCTCGAAAGCTTGTGGAGGCCCCGGGGCTTTCGCCCCGGTTGCCCCCCCCTAAATCCGGCCCTGCAAACATACACATGACACCCAAACCCGAAACAACAATTTTTGGATCACACAAAGAGTTGTTCCGTGCGGGAATCGACACGTTGCGCGGCAGCCAGTTGCCCAGCCACCAACTGCAGTTAACATGCATTTTACTTGACTTTCAATAGTGGAAGGAAAAATATTTAAAGAGAGTAATGTTTCAACATACCTGAGCCAAAGTAACGAACATAGGAATGAGGTCGCTCTTAACGTATTCCACTTCAACAACCCTGGCAAACTCTCCAAGCTTGTAGGCGGCGGCGCGGCGCACCATGGGAGTGTCATCCTGGCAGAGCGAGCGGAAGTGTTGCCGGAGCTCGGCCTTCACCGGCGCTGACACTCGGGGGTAGCATACACTGGAACGAAGGAAAGAAAATAATTTAGAACAAGAAAAATTGTTTAATAAGATAAGATTCTCTGTTATTTACATAGGCGTATAGAGTTCAGAGGTCAGTTCATTGTATAATCCTAGATGATTAATGATTTTAAAGGATTTTCGCTTTTATTAACAGTTAGGAAACCAGAGTTTTCACATTTTATGGCACTAGACACTATTGACTGGACTGTGACAACTAAGTAACCATTTAAAACACTGTTCTACATATAAAACTTTATTAGACTTGCACTTAAAACTTGAACATAATAGTGAAACAAGTGAATTTATTTCTGCAAATAGGCTACAAGGCAGCACCTTTTACACGTCAATATCAAGCGAACGATGAGGCCGACTAATTAATGATTTTCAACTTCTCAACTACACACGGGTATAAATACCATCGCAAGAATGCCATCAGCTCAGACAGGAATTAAGGAAATCTAGATTGTGACTGCAACGTAAAAGAATTCAGGATAGCTATGACAACAGTGTGTTTATTACCAAGATAATGGTTTGTGTGTAAACATTGATATCAAGTTTGTAAAATTATTATGTGTTACGTTTTGTATGATTACTTCTTTTTCCCAGTTAACATTGGAATTAACCCAGTGGGGGTTGTCATGTGCCAAAAGTAAATGGAACGTTTCCAAATTATGAAGAAAGGTGATGGTAAAAAACTAGTTTTATTTTTAAGGAATGAAACATTTCTTTTATGTAATAATTAATATGTATAATAATGTGCATCTATTACATTTCTATATATGTATAATTACTTATATATGTATAATTATTTTAAATGTTTTTATTGTCTTCTTTAGGTTAGTCTGTAAGTAGTTTTGATTATTAGTTTAAGTTTTCATTGTCTTCTTGTTTGTTTTTTTTTTGTTAAACACAGTGTCATATTATGTATTTATTTCTCCTCTCGCAGAGCTGCAGGAAGAAATCCCATAAAGGGATATGCAGTTTCTTTGTGTATTGTCTGTGTTGTGTACATTAATAAATAATTAGTTAATAATGTTTAATGTATGTAATAACACGAAAACAAAAACGATTGTATAAACATACAATTTTTGTCTGTATTTTCTGAAGCATTGCTTTTAAACCCTGTATATTTCGTTCAGGTGATAATCCTAATAATCTGACAGTGGGTCTAACCAAATATATGGTATCAAAACTAGTGACTCATGAACCATGGTGAATATCTATACAATAACACGAAACTATAATAAATGAATGGAGGTTGAATGTCAGTGCCATTTCGTGTCATGCCATTTTATGGGGAATGATTAATTTATTATTTATGCAGGAGTAATACTTAGCTTTGAGGATAAAGTGACATTATAACTCGCCATAAGAAAAACTAAATAGTAGCCAATTACAATAAATTACTTTGGTATTCATAAATAGTACTAATTTGTACATACTAGCATAAGGATTAGCAAGCTGAAATGGCAGTGGGAAGGTCACATTTGTCGAAGAACCGATGACCACTGGGGTAGACGTGTTCTAGAGTGGAGACCGCGTCTAGGCAAACATAGTGTAGGGCGCCCTCCAGCTAGATGGAGTGACGATATACGTAAAGTGGCTGGTAGTGGTTGGATGCGTATAGCTGAAAACCGAGGTCAGTGGCGTGCCATGGGAGAGGCTTATGTCCAGCAGTGGACGAAAACAGGCTGTTGATGATGATAATGTACATACTATGCAAATCCATAATGCTGCAAGGACATTTTGTAATGTTTCCTTTATTGAAATTCTAACAGATTACATTAAATCCAATGTACAAGGTCAGAATGCATATGTAATGTGTGAATTAGAATTATTTATTTTGTCTCCTTGGCCATAACGAAATTTCAATATTTAGCATTAAGACTTGTACAATATTCTAAGTTTTTCAATATTTAAGTTAGTACTTAGGAAATTAGAATTTCAAATACATAAAGGTCTGTAAGAAATAGCCTTGTACAATAAGTCCGCCCATTGTACACTATTATTGTTGATATTGTCCTATAATGTGATTGTGTTGTCTATAATTATATATATATAAATAAAAAGAATAATTCCAAACTACATGGTTATACATTATTGCCAATAGTTGTGTAATAACATATTATTACACATACAAAACTAATAAATTTTTTAGCAATGTGTCACATTTTTTAACTACAGCAGAGATGCACATATTACATGAACTATTTTGCAAGTTTGATTTGATAAGAGATTATTTCAGACTCTGTTGTACGAATGTAACTTAAAAACTAAGAAAACTCAGTAACACATTGACCTTTCCTAATCAAACTCAAAACCACTTCTTTAGTAATTGCTTGCTTGTAATGTAGTTAGTCAGTAATGAATAAATTGTCAATTTACCTGAACAAACCACATGCAGAGGCACGGGATGTGAACCAATCACCTCCCGCAAGACGCTGGACCAGTGGTACGAAGTGTTGCTCTAAAGCTTGTGGCGTATGATGGGCGGCTACAGCGCGGAGGGAAGCCACTGCCTTGTCACGGACAACGGTCTCTTCAACTGTTGCCAGTGACTCTAGAGGCGGGAGCAGGCAGTGGGCGAATTCGCCACCACCAACAAGATTGATAAAGTTTCCTGAAACCAAATAATAGAATTAATTTAATCACTTAACTGCTGGTATAACAGACACAATAGAAAATAAATTGTGAAGAGCTTAAACAGTCTGGCTAAAGAAAGCTGTCAAAAGATGGCGCTAATATAAAAAAGGTAATTTTTTAAATTGGTGTGTTTCTTACACACAGCTTTAGTTGGCCGGACTCTAGTCATGTAAATGAGAATCAAATTAAAAGTACCTACTAATAGAAAATAGATACATAATTATTATTACAAGCAGTTGATAGACAACTGGAATTAAACAGGAAGTATAATAATAACATGGGTGATCCTCTCTACCATTTAATATTGTCTACAATTGCCAATACTACTTTAACCTATTGCCCTTTGCTACTGATTCAGTAAGTTTTGGTAGTGTATAGTTAAAAACGATTGTCAATTCTTGCATTCAGAAAGCTTGTATTGTTTTGTAGTTGCCAATTTCAAAACACAATAGTATTGGAGTACTATTGTATCTTGTAAGAAAAATTAATATGAAAATGAAAGATGATGTACATCTAGATAAAATTTCACCAATCTTACGTCGTGAATCATAGATGAGAAGATAAAACAATTAGGTACCTAATCATTGTTTTCCGAAGAATGGAGGTTTTAATACATTTTGTAAACAATGCAAGTCAGCATTATTTAGCATTCAAAAAAACATGTTATACTGAAAACTGGTGGACTAGTTTTTACCTATGGCTTTGTCTGTTTTGGATAGTCTATGTTCTTTTCCATGCTACCAAGATATGTTATGTTTGTAAGAACTTGTTAAGATTTATTAATGATAAATGAGTAATTTAATAAAATAAGTATGTGGGATTATTTGATCGCAAGTGCGACTGTGCAAGGGGTCTTGGTTGTGATTCCCAGGTCTGGGCAAAGTATTACTGGGATGTAAAAAGGAATTATGCCCAGTATATGGCAATAGACTCAGCCCCTGTTACATGGGACTCACAACATAAATAGTGCAAAGTGGACTTCAGGGACAAAGGGACATTACAGTGATCAATGCGCATTACCTTATTTAAAATAGCGATAAATTTATGAGGATGCCTTAGTTCGGCAGTTATTTACAGCCTGATATTGTATCATTTTGGTACTCAGCACTCAGACAATTAGTAAGTATTCTGAGCAACAAAGACAATAAGGTCTAGGGCCTAATTCACAATGTCTGGATAGCCATTATTTATATAAAATAGAAATAAGAATCACTCAATCAATCTATTAAAAAAAACCGTCTTAAAATCCATTGCGTAGTTTTAAAGATGTTTTACACTATGTACTGTCACATAAGTAGTTTTTTGGTACTGGAAATGGATATATGGAGGTGGCAAAACAAACAAATTAAGATGTAATAATAATAATTAACTAAAAACTATTTTTAACCAATTTCTTCAGTATCTTACTCTATTTGCTACAAATCAATATTAGTATGGCAATAGTAGAGCATAGATAATAAACTAAGTATACTGATTTACGGGATAAACATGTTTATCTACGTATCAAGACCTTGCCATGTCTCCTTATGCATTTAGTGATTAACTATAACCAAAATCTTAAGAATTTGAGTCCTATTAGCTTTGTTTACAAGAAAATCGTGCGAAAATAACAACAATCAGGTTATCTAAACATGAAAAAGTCTTTGAAAGATAGTCTTTAAACGATAAAACCAACATTTGTGATGTACTTACCCAGTTGTTCGGCAAGGGCGAGTAAAACTTCATCTTCGTCATAAATGGTCTCCGTGAGGAAGGGGATCAGCTCCGACCTGGTCCTCTCTACACCCAGCGCCAGCGCGATGGTGGATAACTTCTTGATAGAATTCAAACGGAGCTGTACATCCTCGTTTTTCAATTCGTCAATGAGCACCGCAATAGGATACAGTGACTCATCTGTCCCAGAGTCGCTCGCTGCCATTTTTATGTTTGTTGTGCTGCTTCGATTTCAAATTATACGAACTGTTCAAGATTTTCAATAGGTTTATGAAGTTATGGCGAGTATTATCAAAAAAACGAACGCTATTGAACTCAAATGCAGCAAAATGGCAGCTTGTGTTTTTTTTTAAACTCAAGTCCTCGTTTCGTTCTTCACAACTGCGCCAAGGAAGCTAACCTGTAGAGCCAAGAAAAAAACTGATATTAATTTTTGTTATTTATAAAATTATAATATTTTACAATTAATTAAATAGTTTAATTTGGAAATATTTCTATAAAATCTTTGTTTTAATTTTAAAATGTTTCTAGCTACCAGCTATGCGCTAGTAGCGCCATCTAGTTTTGTTAAGGTTATATCACTACACAATTACACAGTATAAAACAAAGTCGCTATCCGCCGCCTGTCTGTCCCTATGTATGCTTAGATCTTTAAAACTACGCCACGGATTTTGATGTGTTTTTTAATAGATAGAGTGATTCTTAAGGAAGGTTTATATGTATAATACATGCATATTGCACACGCATGCGAAGCCGGGGCGGGGGTCGCTAGTACTTAAACTATATTCTAAGAACACGAATAGGAATTTGCTTTATCAATTCCTCCAGGCGTCGAGTTGGACAACCGATACTTATGATGTACCTATTGCATGTAAACATGCATACGTAATGAAGAAGTACGGTCATATATAAACACTCCTGTAGAAATAGCAACATGTATGTGATAATGCATGTTAGATTAAAATGAAGAAATTAAAAATAAGAAACATGTAGCAGCGCAAGAGTCAATCAGCTTTATTTATTCTTTTTTTTTTCTATCGCAATGAAAATCCTCATGGACTTTCGTCGTCCTAATGGTATCCCCACGTCGTGGGGACGACGAGAGGTCGTGCCGGACTCTTACCGGCTAAAATTACTGCGGTGTTCTTTCACTGCCTGTGACCGAGACCCGGGTTGCCCTTACGGAATCACCACACCCGGCAGGCCTCGACCTACCGCTATGTTTGCGGCAGGTCCCGCCACCTTAGCGGCCCTTGGAGGCTGCTTCCCTTCTTCGAGTAGCGCGCGTAGAACACTACGCTACCGCCTACTCTCACCTATAAAGCGGACGTCTGACTCCCCGGTCAGTCGCCCGCAGGCCTATCCTCTCATGGAGGTCGCAGATCGGCTGCCGCTTCACGGCACTGACGACCGGCGAATCTACGGCGAGAGGGGAGAGAAGTTTTATTTATTCTATGTTTAACTAGCAAACCCCGGCGAACACCGTTTCACCACCATTCTTGGCTTCGTTTTATGTAAAACCGTGGAAATCGGTTCGTGCGTTCTGGAGTTATAGCGTCAGGAAGGAAAACTCGACTTATTTTTGTATCCATATAAATCTTGATTTAAACTTTAATTTCCTTTTCGCTTTGTAAGTAGGTAAGTATCCATATAAATCCACATGAAAATAATTCATTTATTCAAATAAAAAACTTAAATTAAAATACTTTAAATCTTTCTATGCGTTGACTTTTATCTGCTTCGACGCGCTGACAAATTTGACTCGCTGTCAAAAAACGATCCTAACCGTCTCCGAGCATTTCTTCCAACTTTGCCGCTTGGGCGAACAGTCTTTCTTAAGATATGGACGGCGTGGAGCCGCGGAACACCACGGCAGCGCGGCGCTGCGCTACAGCGCGGCTGCCCGGCCTTGACCGATTTTTCTTTTTATGAGTTTAATTATTATTGTTTAATTAGTTTGTTTAATTTTAGGATTTTTGATACATTTTTGAGGGCTTTCGACCTACATGCATCCATGTGATGCAGCTGTTGAGTCTGGAAGTGCTTCTCAATGTGCCCATCAACCTCTAGAGAGCCTGGTAAGATGTTCTTTATGCTCTCAGCCTCGATTTTTTAAAGGAGAACGCGGGTTAAGAATACATTATGGAAAAATCCACAAATCTCATAGTGTATCCTTATCCCCCTCTAACACTACTCCTCTACAAAATTCTTTTCCGGTTTCAAATCAGCCTTTATGGGAAACTTTATCCAAATTCAAAAATTCAACACCCGTTTTAAAAAGAGTTCCTCGTGGTGCAAGACGGTCCGTTGCTCTTAATTTAGGAAATTGCATTCGTCTTGCAACTCGAGAGAACTCTTTCTCGGCTTGGGAGCAGTTACTCACCTTCCCCTACAGGATTCTACACGTAAAAAAAAATTTGGCTGTTAAAAAAAACTTAACCTCACAAATTAAAAGTAATTGTAATATTTTGAACCCCATTTTAGATCCAAAATTTCCTAACTCCTTTAATAATATTAAAAAAACTCGTTTTGACTACGTAGAATCCAAATTAGGTGAAGGTGATATAAGTGGAGCCGCCAGGCTTTTATTCAGTAGTGACGTGGTTGCTCCCTACTCTTCAGAAACTTTTGAAGCTCTGAAGAGTAAACACCCGCCTGCTAGGGCTGACCTCACTTTTCCCGATCCTCCTGAACATGATATCCATATTTTCACCGCAACTGTCCAGCAAGTAGCTGCAGCCGTTGGCTCCTTCCGCAGTGGCTCTGCTGGTGGACTTGATGGTCTGACTCCTCAACATCTTAAGGATTTGACGGGGCCAGACGTCGGGGAAGCCGGTGAGTCTCTTCTGAAGGAGCTAACGGTTCTGGTTAATTTAATGCTCTCCGGTAATGTGACGGATGCCGTTATCGACATTTTGTACGGGGCCAATCTATGTGCCCTACGCAAGAAAGATGGCGGCATACGCCCCATTGCCGTAGGATGTACTTACAGGCGTATGGCAGCCAAGTTGTGTTGCAGCTATCATAAAGATGCGCTCATGTCGCACTTTCAACCCCTCCAACTAGGCTTCGGCTCAAAAGGGGGTTGTGAGGCTGCCGTACACGCCCTATCATCTTTCTTGAATGCAAACGAAAGTGAGGTCATCCTTAAGGTTGATGTAAAAAATGCATTCAATTCCATCAACAGGGACACTTTGTTGGCTGAAGTTAAAAAAGAATTACCTGAAATTTACAGTTTTATTTGGCAGTGCTATAGACAACCTTCAAAATTATTGTATAAAGACAAAGTTTTGGATTCTGCGGTAGGCTGCCAACAAGGTGATCCTCTTGGTCCAGTCATTTTCAGTCTGGCCATTCACCCTATTATTCGGCAACTTAAATCTAAATTTAATGTTTGGTATTTGGACGATGGAACCCTAGGAGGTGACGCAGATACTGTTTTCCATGACTTACAGCTTTTGATTTCTGAATTTAAATCCATCGGATTAGAATTAAATATTTCTAAATGCGAAATTTACCTTCCGGACAAAATTATCGATAGTCAACAAATTTTAAACACTTTTTCTACCGTAGCGCCGAATTTAAAAATTGTTGATAAAAACTCTCTTCTTCTCCTGGGTTCCCCAATTTTCGAAAACAGTTTCTCTGATTTCATAAACGAGAAAATTAAAAATTTCTGTGACATTTCCGATAGACTTTCCAAAATTAATCTACATTGTGCATTTACTTTAATTCGCTATTGTTGTTTCGGCCCAAAATTTATGTATTTTCTGCGTGCTTCCCCTCTGTGGAAGCATCCGCATATTCTGGACCAAATTGATCAAATTATCCGTGACACCTTAACTTCACTTTTGAATGCTTCTATGGACGATCGTGTTTGGCTTCAAGCCACACTACCAATTCGTTTTGGTGGTCTAGGCGTCCGCAAAATTACCAGTGTAAGTTTACCGGCGTTCATCTCTTCTGTCCACAGCACTAGAACGTTAACAAATAAAATTTTAGCTGGTGTTGACGCTGAACCTGATGTGCCGTGTCTGACCGACGCGATGAACGTCTGGACAGAAACATGTCCCAATACAGCCTTGCCTGTCAACCCTTCCTCCCAGAGACAATGGGACGAGCCGCTTTGCAGGTTGGTGCATAATAATCTAATTAATACCAGCACCAATCCTGCGGAGTTAGCTCGCCTATTGGCTGTGGGTGAGTGGGAATCAGGCCTCTGGCTTCAGGCACTTCCGTCACTCAATATTGGCACGATGTTGAATGACTCAACTTTTCGGCTTGCTGCTTGCTTGCGTGTAGGTGCACCCTGTGTTTCTCCGCATCGCTGTCAATGCGGTGAGATGGTCGACCACCTCGGCCACCACGGCCTATCGTGTAGCAGAAGCGCGGGCCGGATAGCTCGACACGCCAGCATTAACGACATTATCCGCCGAGCTCTTATCATCGCCGGTGTGCCAGCTGTTCTGGAACCAAAGGGTTTGGCACGCGACGATGGTAAGAGACCCGACGGTATGTCCATTATGCCCTGCGTTGACACCCTTGCACCTTCTCATCTTCCAGTAACGGCGGGTTGTGCTGGTTCGGCTGCTGCCTCTGCAGAAAGCCTCAAGCGGCGCAAGTATAACAACCTTGCTGGTAGTTATATCTTTGAGCCGTTTGGGGTTGAGACGCTAGGTCCGTGGGGTCCGAGTGCACTTAAATTATTCCAAAACATTTCAAAACGCCTGGTTGACACATCTCGTGACCAGAGGGCTGGTCTTTTTCTCGGTCAGAGGCTAAGCATTGCCATACAACGTGGCAATGCTGCCAGCCTTCTGGGTACTTTCCCCACTGACGTCGATGCGGACGAATTTTTCGACGCTTTATGTAAATAGTTGTTTTTGTTTTTTCTTATAATTAATTTTAATCTTTAGTTGTATATAGGTATTTAATTTAGTAATATTTAGTTTTAATTTTTTTTAAGTAATAGTTAGTTTTTAATTTAAGTTTTTTATTTGAATCCACATTAAATCCTTCTTACCAAACTTAAAAATAATTCTTTTTATAAGACGATAATTCGATTGACAGTTGTCAATTTTGTTCTTTTTGCCCAAGAAATTATCATGTGGGCTCGTGGGCAATAAGTTTTAATTTTTTAATGTTGTTTACGATGAATTTGTGATTAAATAGCATATAAATGCTATGGGCAGCGATGAAGTTAGC